ACATCAAATTTTGGGGTAAAAAGTGCGTCTTATACACCGAAAAATAAGGTAGTACAGGAACAGAATAATCAGGTATTAAATTATCTCACTATCATTCGTATAAAAGGAATTTAAATGTAAGTAAGGGAGAAATTGAAGCAATTAATCAATTGAATAAAACAACGATATATTTAAACCAGATAATGAATTGGTTTAGGTATTTCAAACATAAATGGTTAGGTCAATTCTTACAGTAATATCCGATGAAAGTATATTTAGGAAATTGAATTAGATCTCACAAAGAAAAGAGGTCACTTACAAAGATATTTGTTAAAGAAAGATAGTGTTATTTATGATAAAATATTCAAAGATATTAGACCAGAAGGTTCCCACTGTGGTATTTTATATGGTTTACCAAAAATCAATAAAAACAGTTGTTCCATTAGACCAATAATTTCAAATATTATGTGCTTATATTCATAAACTTGCGGGGTTTTGTTGTTGTTGTTGTCGTCTTAAAATACTTGAAAAAATTGGTATACGGTTAAAAAGTTTTGAAATATTTAAACATTTGGCACATTTACGATTTGAAGACCCACCTTGTGCAGTTTTTGATATTGAATCCTTGTGTAATAATCATAATATTACTTTACAACAAACAGTCCAGTTAGGAGCAGATCTGGTATTCCAAAATGATACGATTGTACAAGGCTTAACTAAACCCGTTTTTATATGATTGTATAAGGCTTAACTAAATCCGTTTTTTTTAAATTATTTGCCACTAAAAAAATAAATTCACTTTCATTAGTTAAACTAGCAGCTAATTTTGAGCCCATAGCAACACCATATATCTGATCATAAATACAAGTTAGTTAAACTAGCAGCTAATTTTGAGCCCATAGCAACACCATATATCTGATCATAAATACAATTATTAAAACTTGTATTTATGTTATCATGAAAAATGATGACTGAATAATTGACCTGAGAGTTTTAGACCTGTCAAATGCCACAGGTATGGTGATGACGCTTTCATTATCTTCAAATAAAAAGAACAAGGAAATGAATTCCTTTTAGAAACAACATCCTCCCAGTGGCATAGCAGTTTGTCTGCGGACTTACGACGCTAGAATCTGGGTTTCGATACCTGTGGTGGGCAGAGCACAGATAGCCCATTGTGTAGCTTTGTGCTTAATTACAAACAAACAAGCCATTAGTTGGCGAAAAAAAATATCTATCATCAAAACTCAAATTTCGACAACGTTATTTGGTTCGGTTGTAATACCGGTTTCATGCTGTTGTGGTATAGATAGCCCATTGTGTAGCTTTGTGCTTAATTACAAACAAACAGACAGTTTCATATCTTTCAAATATAAAAGTAATTTAATTAATATATTGTTTTAGGCTTACCACATCGGTAGTAATTATTAGAATTTTCATAAGAAAATAGAAAATGTAAAACAAAGTCTCGTTAATTTTTTTCATCTATAATTACTAGTAATGTATTGATTTATTTGTTAACAAAGTATACACTCCTCGGAAAGCAAGTTTTGAGGGGCTCAAACAAACAATGTATGTTAATTTTCCGTTTATGGGTAAAGACAATTATCAACTGAGAAATATAATCAGGAATATTGCGTCATAAAACTGTACACAAATGTGTGGTTTTAAAACCTGTGTTGAGAACGGAATTTTTTTTTATCGAGGTATAAGATAAAAATCAATAAATGTCAGCGCTATTACTTTTGTTCTCGTTGTGGACGAGATTATGTGAGTTGAAGTACTCGTCATTTAGAACAACATGTAAAAAAACACATCTCAAGCCAAGTAGTAGTAGTATTGGTAATTCTTCAAACATCTACAAGCGGCTGAATCAAGACTGTGATAGTGCAGCTGATGAAAACATTTTCACTACAGAATACAGCTCCAACAAAAAAACAGGATATCCGCATGTGAGACACTAATGATCAAAAAATTCAAATCTCCTGTTAATACAAATACACCTGCCATTTTTCTAAAAATGTAAGTCCAATTTGAATAATGTAAAACAACTTTGTATATGTTATTATACACTTCACAAGAATATATTTTTTTTTTATGAAGAAGTGAAAGCTTATATAGTCAGATTCGAACCCGTGACGCTGCTAATGAGGCTATGTTAATAAACTAAGCTAGCTACCATAGTGGCTCATAGAATGGTTCTTGAGTTTTTCAAGTACAAAGTTTTAGCTCATAGCTCCATCTCTCGACCGATTTGAGATCTAATTACAGTTCTGAACTCAGGAGATCAAACCTTTTCGATTGATGTATTTACCATGCTCAAGGTATCATAGATGAATACACTCTAATTCTGCCTTAAATAATTTCAAGTACCGCGGCTATTGAGGATTCCCTGTTGTTTTTCTCTCGCACTCTCTTCATTGGTTATTAAAGAGGGTATTTGATAGAACTTTTGAGCTATCTAATCGGTTTTATAGCTTTAAACAAAATAATGACAGCCACTAAAATGAAAACTAAAATTTGCGTCATTTGAGATACGGTGGCATAAATTATTGAAATATTTACTCGGTTAGCAGCATCGCGGGTTTGAATCCTACGCGGTCTCAGTTATCGCTTCATCATGAAATTTATAACATCACTGGACGACTTGTAACCTTTAAAAGAACATTTACTTGGCTTAATGTTAGTCTTCAATAATCATTTTTATAAAGAAAAACGTTGTTTTTTCAATATATTTTTCTTTCAGTTAGTCTTATTATTGTCCACTATATGAACAAAGTTCTTTCAAAATATTAATTTTTACTTATTAGTGT